TTTTTTTTTTTCAGTAGGTAAGTTTCTACCACAAACTTTGTCTTTATTAGCTTTATGACGTAGTCCCAAGGGAACAACAGAATTTCAACCACTTAAGCTGTAAATAATTTATTTCCTCTAAATAAATAAAATAAAGTAATGATAATAACGCTAATAACAGCAGCCATGTGTAGTCCTCTGGAACACAACTCTGTTTGCATTATTACAGGGGTGGTTGTAGCTTAGGTGGTAGAGCAAGAGCAGGTCATCTAACCGGAACGTTAGTGTTTTGATCCCAGTCTGCATGCCAAATATTCCTGGCCAAGATACTAACCCCATGTTGCTCGTATGCTTTAGACAAAAGGCGCATAGAAACAGCATATAAAAAAGTGCTTGGGTGAATGAGGTTGTGTAGTGCTCAGACTAGAAAAACGTCTGACGAACCTAATTTCTTTTTGCCAGTAAGAACTGAAGCGCTAATGTCAGGTGCACCTACATTCTAGCGCCTCATGAGGGCAGCATTTCGTCTTTGCGAACGTATTCGTGACGTCATCCCGTGTAACTTCCTGTAATGTCGGGTCCGTTCCTCAAATCGTCCGCTGTTGTGGTTCAGAAGGCCAAGTACCGACGTGTCGGTCATTTCAAAAACCTTAAAGGTAGAGAAACAATTTCCAAGTTGTTTTATGACCGTGAATTGTTGACTTGGCGTCATGCTCGGTTAATATAAGATGGGATATAGATACAGCAATTTAGGTAAAAGGAAATGTGCAAAAGTCCTTGACAATGTGCGCTACAAATCGGCTGCTATTCAGTGCTAGCTTAGTTTAAGAAACAGGTGAGCTTAGCAAGAATCGCTTACGTTCCGTTTGGAAGGAAAACCTAAACTCTGCTAGTATTTATTGTGTATTAAATGATGGGAAGTTGGTTGTCAATTTGTCATGACGTGTGTGTTTTAGTAGTCACTGTCACTATCGAGTTCTGCCGAAGTACTTTTATTTCCAAATGTTGGTATTGTTATATAATCTAGAAAGGATATGTTGCATTGTACATTACATCTAATATTAGAAAGTAACAATACAGGATTAATAAACGTTTGCATGCATATTGTTTCATATGGCATAACTTACCTGTGCCCTGCCATAAAAAAAAATAAAAATGAACTTTAATCTGTTAATGTTATCCACGTTGTTCTCTTTCAACTATTACACCTTAATGCATAAACTTTGATGTCTGGTTTCAGATTTAAGACGTGATGGCTGCAACACTGCGTGTACTTTACTCTGCATCAAGGCCAGGTATGACGGCCTTACATTCTTATTCACTCAACAGTTCAGAGAGCCTTGTTGCCACATATCCTTTCTTACTTCTCACCCCTGTCATGCATTTATGTATACCAGGGGTCCCCAACTCCAGGCCTCGAGGGCCGGTGTCCGCGATCCAACACAGCTGATTCAAATGGCTAAATTACCTCCTCAACATGTCTTGCCGTTCTCCAGAGGTCTGATAATGAACTAATCATTTGATTCAGGTGTGTAGACCCAGAGTGAAATCTAAAACCTGCAGGACACCGGCCCTCGAGGCCTGGAGTTGGGGACCCCTGATGTATACAGATGTCGGTAAAGTTGCAGCCTAGCCCTAGCACAGAATGAGAGTGAGCATTATCACATTAAATGCTTTTTTTAAGCTTTAGAAGTAGCAGGTAATGTCAAACACCTCAATAAGGAAACTGTAGTTTTGAAGTTTAACTCTAACACAATATTTCTGCTACCTAAAGGTAACGTTTCTGTTTTTACAAGGAAGTTATTGTGTGATAAATTCATTCTTACAAGTAGAGAGAGCCGTTGCCGCACAGTAAGAAGGTCCTGAGTTCAATTCCAACATCAGGCCGGGGTCTTTCTGTGTGGAGTTTGCATGTTCTCCCCATGTTTGCGTGGGTTCCCTCCGGGTACTCCGGCTTCCTCCCACCGTCCAAAGACATGCAGCTTGTGGGGATAGGTTAATTGGATAATCCAAATTGTCACTAGGTGTGAATGTGTGAATGAATGTGAGTGTGAATGTCTCTGTGTGTTGGCCCTGTGACAGACTGGTGACCTATCCAGGGTGTACCCCATCTCTCGCCCTATGACAGCTGGGATAGGCTCCAGCGCCCCCCGCGACCCTGAAAAGGATAAGCGGAAGCGAATGGATGAATGGAAGTAGAGAGAGATGTAAGAAAGAGGTGCCCTGGAGAGGAAACATTATTCTGTTGCTGATGTCATCTGGGTATTTACCATAAAGAGATGTCTTGAAAAGCAAAGTGATTTATAAACATTTCATTATTCAAAATCAGTGTTGTATGACAACAATAGGCTGTTCACTTTATTGGAATGTAGACTAAGTTGGTTTGTTTGTAGTTTTGTTGTATTATTTAATGTAAGGGATTATATTTGACTGGTGCAGATTAGGCTGTGATATCCATTAACTATTGCTAGGTTCAGTGAAGAGACAATAAAAGCTAGTTAGTTGTTGTTTAATGCTGATATTTAAAGCAAACAGTACAAGCTTAAAGTGCTTTTAGTGCTCAGTAGTAAGGCAAGAATAGAAAACGGCAATATAATTAGCAATTCATTTACCATCACACGAGTTTTAAATTTTTCTGGACAGAAGCTAAAAGTGAGAAAGATTTATACTCTGTGTTGATGGAAAATTCTATTGTATTACTCCACTCTAGACTGCTTCCTGTAGTGTCAAGTTGACTGCATTGTAGTAGGTTTACTGTTTATCTTTTCTGAAATGTTTTTACCTTCAGGTTTTTTTGTGGCCAGCCAGAATCTAGCAAGGTCCTTCAGTGTGTCGGCACAAAGGGACGGATTCAGTAAGTGCTGCTACAACACAACTCAATTCAAGGGCTTTCAGAGGCTGTACCACGATATTTTCATTCACACATGGACTTCAGACAGTTTTAGAATTTAGTTCAGGATGTTTTCCTTAGTTGGGCTTTCCTCACATTCTTACATCCTGAAGAAGGATGTACTCAGCTTCACTTGATGAAAAAACAAAAAAGATTTATGAATTACACTGATATTTTACAGTTTACACTCATGTAAATTGGGCGCATTACCATTATTTTGTTTTGGCTGTGTGTGTGTGTGTGTGTGTGTGTGTGTGTGTGTGTGTGTTCCTTTCTTTGTCTACATAAGAGTATGTGAATGCTCAGGAGATCCCTGTCGACATGAAGTCCATCACAGACAGAGCAGCACAAACACTGCTATGGACAGAGCTCTTCAGAGGTCAGTTGAATGTTTCTCTGTCCTGTACGAATAATTGGATCTTTGTGTTTTCCTTTACCAGTGGAAGTAGTTGGGGTACTGTCACTTCATGGAAAATGTTCTTTGTATTTGTTATCTTACAGATGAGGGTAACATTAGTCCCCCCATGATATTTTAACGTTTTTGTCCCAGTAGGTTGATTCTGTGCATCTGGATGTTACATTTCAATGGTAAATGGTTTGAAATAAAACCTCAAGCAGTTAGCAGCAAAACTGGGTCTGGAACGTCAATTTATCTTCCAACACGTCACCGACCGCCAACACCTAATCCCTGCCCATGATCAGGTACCCTGCTGGGATAATAAGATGGCCAAAGGAGGAGATGCAAACTGGACCGAAAGACAGCACAGTGTAAAGATGCCCCTGAGACAATCCAGCACATAAGTAGGGTGCAAGATGCTGGCAGGCAGGGCACACTTTGAACGCCATAACCAAGTGGCCGGCATAGTATACTGTGCCAAGTATGACCTGGAAGTCCCGAGGTCAAAATGGTGGTCCTGTAGGACTTCCAGATACAAACGGATAAACTGGTGATAGCTAACCAACCGGACGTAGTAGTGGTAGGGAAGCAGAGGAAGACAGCCGTACTGATAGATGTAGTGATACTAAATGACAGCAAATCAGAAGCTGGACAAATACCAAGGGCTCAGAAAAGAGCTCGAGAAGATGTGGAGGGTGAAGGTAACAGTGGTCCCAGTGGTAACTGGAGCACTCGGTGCAATAACCCCCAAACTAGGCGAGTTTCTCCAGCAGATCCCTGGAACAACATCTGAAATCTCTGTCCAGAAGAGCGCCGTCCTAGGAACAGCAAGGGTTCAAGTTCCAAGGCCTCTGTCAGGGGACCTGAGCTTGAGAGATAAAAGATGGGGAATTTTTTTTTTGATAGATGGGGAATTTTTTTTGATACAGATGCATAAAATTTTCATGGAGGTGTTAATAATTGTAAGCGTTCTCATTTGAAAATGTGGTTTTATTGTAATGCCAGGTCTAGGCATGACAATGAGCTACCTGTTCAGAGAGCCTGCCACCATTAACTACCCGTTTGAAAAAGGACCACTGTCGCCACGCTTCAGAGGAGAACATGCGTTGCGCAGGTGAGGATGATTATTTGACAAACACCAGTCAGTGTAATATGATTGGTAGCAATGATAAGATGTCAGAATAATAAATTTGATAGTCATTGATTGGTGCTTTGATATATATATATATATATATATATATATACACACACACAATACAGTGTGTTTGTGTCTGTTTAACAAATCGACCAGTAACTTCTTATATAAGGAGGATCATATGCAATGCAAGAAAAACATTGTAACTTTTTAGATTTAACTTTTTTTCTAAACTATTAGCATCTTTGAATAGTATCTGAAAACACCTCCATACATCTGAGATTTTATAGGAGGCTCTGAGATGACACTGTATTAGTAATCAAACCTCACCAAGTTTTTGGAATGTGTCAAAACAGGTATCCCTCAGGAGAAGAGCGTTGCATTGCTTGCAAGCTGTGTGAAGCAATCTGTCCTGCCCAGGTATAAACAAATAGTCATACCTATGTGAACAAATATGAATGAGGTAAAAACAACTTTGGCTATATACGTTTGCAGCATAACTGTCCTCACAGGACCTCAACTGTATAACTGAACATGTATATGATACAGTGCAAAAGTCTTGAGCCACCTATCATTTCTTTGTATTTTGCTGGGAAATTTGGAAATATGTGCAGAGATTTATTCAAACATGTTCGAGCATAAATGGAAATACAATAGATAAGTCAAAAACATAATTTGTACAATTCTAATGAGCTTGAAAATCAATATTTGGTAGGAGCAGCTTTGAATTCTCTTTGTGTAATTTCTTTAAGCAGTCTTCAGGAATGGTTCACCAGGCTTCTTGAAGGGCATTTAAAGCTCTTCTTTGGATGCCACCCTCCACTGCGAGCAATTCTGAGGCTTTGGCGAACAGTAGATGGTGAACCATGGGAGTCAGATGCATCTATCAGGTCATGTGTCAGGTCTATGCTGGATTTTTTTATGACTTTCAGATACCTGCCTCTTTTTTTTTTTTTTTTTGTCCCCTAATTGTCCAATTTCCTCAAAGCTTAGCCCACTTAGCTGAGATATGCCAGGTTCTTGGTTAGCAGTTCTTAGAACTAATCTTGTTGCTGTAAAAATCGTATTTCATGCTTCTCAAACTGTTGTCTTTGAAATATAGGACTAAATAATGGATTTATGTGACAGGCTGAAAGGATGCAATCTAAAATTGTTTTGTTGCTAAGTTGTCTGTTGTGTGTAGACACAACACTGGTTCCCAGGAGTTAGGTGCCTTTTTATTGCTTGAATGATTCAAAAGTCAGTGTTAAAAGTGTCTTAAAAAACTTGTCCTCTGAAAGTCATTTTCAGTCAAGGACTGGACTGAAAAAGCGCACCTGAATATTAGCCGCACAAGCTAAAATTAGGGGAAAATCCTGTTTTGTACATACATTAGCCGCACCTGACTAAAAGCCGCAGGTGTTTTAATGTTTACTTACCATATGTACGAGAATACGCACAGAGGGGATTGTCAGGAAAGAGATGGCTGTTTGGGACCACATCCCTTTTATTAATATTTTGAAAAACAAGTTACCGGTACATATTTGCATAACTTTTTACGTATATG